CTAAGACTGTGGTGGTATATTTGTATTTCGGTGACTTGAAGTATTTTTTGTATATCTCTTTTTGTGGTTTAACATTTTTTAAGTGAATTTGTTTGTTTGTTTGAAATTAAGCACAAAGATATACAATGGGCTATCTGTGCTCTGCCCACCACGGGTATCGAAATCCGGTTTCTACCGTTGTAAGTCCGCAGACATACCGCTGTGCCACTGGAGGCTTTTTAAGTGAAAGTTTATAGTTTACGCTTTATTTGAACTATAGTACTGTTTCGTAACATGCTAAAGGAACTTTATTAATACGGAAATTTACTCGACGTTTTCTAGTTTAAATGTTTTTATACACATTGTCCACCATTTAAGCCTTGTCAGAATTAAGGAAATACAATCAGATGGTCCACTAAGCTGACAAAATAAACACCAGTGACTAAATTTATTTGTTTCTTTATTTACTTTATATAAAGTCACTGAATTTCTTACTATATAAACACATCTATTTATTGTCTTTCACTTCCTTTGCGATTTTAAAACAAGCGCGCACACACACACGCTTACGTTAATATATATATATATATTTACAGACAAATATATAAATATACTAGTTAGAGTACCGTCCCCTGGACGGAAATTATGTAAATTCATGATTAATGAAAGGTTATCTTAGGACATTAAAACTTGCTTCCCTTATATGTAATTGTTAAAAACGCCCATACAGACTGCAAAACACAGAATGTGAAACCGCAATTTTACATGTATCTTCGCATGGACTCAACAAACCTTCATGCCAAATTTGGTGAACATCCATCAACAGGGGTGAAGTAGTGGTTAAAAAAAAACTATCCATAAAAACCGCAAAATGCAAAATTGAAAATTTGTATGTACACCCCGCATGGACCTAATGAACCTCCGTACCAACTTTGTTGAAGATGCATCTACACTCTGCGAAGTAGTTACGTGGACATACAACAGTCAGTACTATTCTTTAAGTTCGATTACCAGAATCAATAATTAGAAATCCAATTCCTAGGAGGGACAAGTTTGTTTCAGAATTTTTGCGCAAAGATAAGCAAAGGCTGTTTGCCCATAACCACTTACTGCAAACTCATGGGCTTTTCTTATGTGATGGAACAGTGGGATTTGACAGTCACTCTTGTAGCGCACCCACTGTTTCTGCGGCAACAGGACAAAAACATTTAACATATACCTAAATATTAGGAGTTTCTGATATGACCCTTTAGGTCAACTCTGAATACGGTGCCATTCTGGTTGAAAATAGTAATTTATTTCCAAATGTCGATGGCACTAAGTTCTATCAGACAGTCAAGTCAGGAAAAGGTGCCGTTCTTGGTTAAAAGTCCTAATACTTTTTCCAATATAGATGGCATTAAGTTCTATTAGACAGCTGAGTCCATATAAGTTGCCATTCTGGTTGAAAATCCTAATTAATTTTCCAATATAGATAACATTGAGTTCTATTAGATACGAACTTGTAATATCCTTTAGATGGAATTAAGAACCCCCAGTCACGAAGGACAAAATATTAAAAGTAAAGTAACTCGATCGCTACGTATGTATGTGAGCATATTAAAATAGTGACCTTGAGGATGCTTTTATATATAGATATGAAATTACGAAAACAACAATTAACCAACCCTCACTCTTGTGCAAGTAACAAGCCATTTCAATGTACCATTCCCTAAAAAACAAATATGATTTTATTGTAATGAATTATCGTATTGTTAATGTACTTTAACTTGTGTAATAATGATCATAACTTTAAACAATATCGTATGAAATTTCTCCACCTCGTGGTAATTAAATTGTTACTCAAGTCAATAATGTGTAGTTCATCATATCGCTAACTGTCACCTTTGATAATACATAAATAACTGTAATTAATTTAAACAAATTAGTTTTATAAGTTTCGGTGAATTCAAGCTAACTAGCGAATAAAATCGATAATTGTTTTTAAACACACGATTGTTCAATTAAATACTTTTTTATTATCATTTTAAAACATAAAATATACTATCATTAACAATTCTCAATTTATAAGAACATATTTCACATTTCTTTTCACTTCACGCTATCAACGATACAGTTTAGAAAATATATAAATGTTTTCTAAATACATATTTTTAAGTGTTGTACAAAATATTAATAACAATAAGTTAATTAAATATATCAGAACTGAAAATTAACTTATAAATTCAGTAATTGATAGAAAACAATGAATGATCAGCTTGACACCCTTTTAATAACATCTGATATGATGTTCGTCCAGCTTTGAAGAATTAAATAGGTCCTAAATCTGTATACTAATCTCACAATGAAAAATAATCTTCTTAGAATAAACCAAAAAGTATCCAAATTAGTTTTAAATAATAACACGATTTAAAGGAATTAAGTATAAAGAAATCTGAAGTATGTCATCTTTTACAAAACAAAGAACACTAGTCATATGCTCCAGAAATCCATACAAATAATCAATACACTATAATTAAATATGATTATAAGTTTTCATGTATTTACATTAGTGGCTATCCAACATCAAAAAACTGAAAAACGTTACAAAAATAGACTCAAAGTCATGAACAAAAGCACTCCATCTGCCTATTCGGAGAATGATTTGCATTTTCTGATAATGTCAAATAAAAAGAAAACTTATGAAACTTTGAAACATTACTCAGTCTGATGAATTTGATATATTTTTTGTTTTGTTGTTGTTTCAATAAATTTCAATGAACTATACGACGTAAAATTAAATTTTCTCTGTTCTACTAACATGAAGATTAACAGTCATAAAATTGCTTAACGTAAGAAGGAGGTTTTTTCATTAATATAAAAATTCAAAGTTAACTTTCACCGAGGTTGAACCAAAAAAAAAAAGATAAATAAACTTCTGTGTATGTTACGTGACAAGATATAATCACATCAAGATGTATTTCGTAAAATCCAACTCAAATATAAACTTTAAGAAGATACTTGGCAAATTAAAATGTGTTCACTATGAAGACATATAAATTCTCCAAAATGATGTATCTTTAAAAACCTAAAAGTTCGGTTCATGTCATAACTTACATTGAACTCTTTTGTTTTCAAACCAGTTCATCTTGTTTTGAACATGATAACATGGATATGGTAATTAGTAAGAGTTACATGATTTTATGATTGAAACGAATCTAGAAATATTGAATATATCATGTTCCTAGTTCATATACGAGGTACTTACAGACCATTTAGCCAAAATACATAGTACCTTGTGACGTCAATGATTGACGTCGTTCTTTCTTAAACGACTTTCTGCTCAACTACTCCGCCCTTCAAAAATGAGAAACAACACATCACCTTTAACATGGAATAAAAGATGGATTAAGCTATTCCAGTTCATAAGTAATGGAGTCTTGTAAATCACGCAATATTTGCTCTAGCATAGGAAAGGTTATAATGGACGTAAGCAATATTTGATTGGCCTATTCCTCGAACCCACCATAAAACAGATAACTAGAACTGAAACTATCAACCAACGTCCACGCTTCCCTCACCCAATCATCTGGCGAATATATAGATTCGCGGGTATTGATCCAGTCTCAGAAGCGCGTAGATGATAAGCGAAAAGCTTATATTTGTTCTTTTGGCATGGCTTCATATTCATGCGAACGCCATATTGGGCATGTAGTTATAAAAAGAAAAAAATGGAGTTGATCATTTCTTCTGGAACTAGTCCTTTTTTGTTGATCTGTTGAAAGGATGTAAGTTTATTTTATTTTAATCACTTCTCCAGATGCCTCTACTTAATATATACTGAAATAGGCAAAAATGGGATAAAATATATTTACCTTTGAATAGTATAACAAAACACATATGTGAGATTGCTTGCTTACTGATTTATCAACTTCCCCATAGTTTTATACTGTTATAATACATTCACATAAGTTTGTAGCGTATTTATTATACTCTTCTGGTTTATATGTATATTAAACACAATGTGATTTCCCTTTTCATATAAATTATGTATCATAATTTCCCTAGAACAGTGCTATGCTATTTCAAGCTAGATTGATCTTTTCTTCTTCGGCAAAGATTAGAAATGTATTTCGTTTTTTTCTGCTATTATAATTGACCACTTTTAATTTGTTTGTTTTTTTTTGCATGTAGCTATATTTTCTTGTTAGTTATTGTTTGATTTGGTGAAAGATATTTGTTAATGGGTATGCGAATAGCCTTTGTGGAGAACTGAGATGGCAGTGCCTCGCTTTTGAATGAAAATTAAGTCATTCTATCGAAATAGTTGTAATATGTTGAGTGATTACTGTAATTTAATTTAACTGTTAGAACACGGCTGCCAGGTTCCAGTTGGTACACTAACTTTGTGCACAAATATTACAAGGAATATTTATTTGAGTGAATATATTCGCGAGAAAGCACAATACAACTCTTTTATGCTTAGAAATCCAAAAACAACTCATTTTACTGTTGTTTTTGAAAGATATACTGAAGCAATTACGTTAGCAAACTAAGTCGTTGAAAGTCCAACTTTCTTTATTACTAAAGTTTGCTCTACTAGTCATACTGAAGAGCGACGTACCGAATAAAGTATTATGATATGCACGAATTCACTTCACTGCAATAAAACTCTTTGCGGAAAGCTGCTCCAACATTGAGCAGTGAAATCAAAGTAGCACAAATGCCTAGAGAGGTCAACCTACTACGAGAGTGGGTGTTAGATGTTTTGATGGTTTTTTCCTGTGTACCGTAGAATATATATCGTAATGATATTTGATATGATATCAATATACATTCTAATTTTTAAAGGAAAAAGCGAAACCAGATAACAAAATGACCACAAAAGGTGGTTGGGACGATCTTTTATTTTATGTACTATAAAAAAAAACTTTAAATTTTTTCATTGCTTTTGCCAGAGGTTCGACCTGCAAATACTGTTATTTTGCCCCGATGTCTTTCACTTTATCTCCTAAATTTTCTTTATTGTTTGTATCTAATAGGTAGTCTCAATCCGATGTATCTAACTTCTCGATTAAGCGATACACTGGCGCCACCTAGGGCATTACCTTCTGAATATTCTCCTTATGGACTTCGGCCTTATGACTTTGCACGCCACCTTCTGACGTCACAAACTGCAGTCAGTAAGATATTAGGTATGTAAAAGCCTCTGTTTTATGTTTTTTTATATGGTTTAATGTCAGATTAACTTTAGAGTTAAATAAGAGTATATTTATGTTACATTTCTTCATAAAAATTAAACACGAATTTTCAGGCTAAAATTTTTGCTGCGTAGAATTCCTTTTTGTTTTTCAGGTAACTTAAAATTTGACATTATTTAAGAAATTAGTTCTTAGAAAGACCATGAATAGATATCATGATGCTAATATATTAAATTAGTATTCTCCTTAAAAAGCCCATTCGGTAGCTCAGCAGTAAGTCTGAATTCTTATAATGTTAAAATTTGGGTTTCGATACACGCGGTGGGCATAGCATAGATAGTTTATCGAGTGGCTTTGCGCTTATAAACAAATAAAAAATCTTCTTCGAAACAATTCCTAACTATATTCACTCTGTAATCCGTACAAAATGTAATTAGGACATGTAATTTCAATCAATAGACTGAATTACGAGAAACACATATAATTGAATTTATACATCCAGCAAGTCGTATAACATAATAGCCAATTACTCTTTTTCTGTAGTGTATAGTTGGTATAATAAAATCCTCTAGCTTTGTATCGTTTGAAAACAATGTTAGTAAATTGCTTAGGTTAAAGTAAGTTAAAACAGAACATATCTATCATAAAAAACATCAAATATTATACCTGTCGCAGTACTTAAATGTATTTCCAAAAAGTAAACAAAATAATTAACCCAAAACTTCTTGGTTATCTTTCTTTTCTCTTTGATAAGTTTAGGTTCATAACCGAGGAAAAGCACCCTACTAAATTAGTGTATTGCTTTTTTGATAGTCGTCAAGATAACATTTCTGACTCTTTTCGGAATAACACCGAGAAACCTGCAAGATTATATATCCTTTAGATATTTCATGTGATGGTGCAGTTAACTCGAGAAACAAGAGTAATAAGTATATTATATATCATAACTTACGTGATTGCCCAGCCTCATTTTATTAGTGCCAAGTTTTACTGAACAGGAAAATAATTTTTCCGATTGAAACACTATCGTGCAGAATTTTATACCAAATTTTTAAGTTGTGACTTGTTAATTTTTTCACTTGAACAAAGGCAAATTTATATATATATATATATATATATGCATTAAATAATAAACAAATTGAAAAAAGCTTTTTTCTGTGAAGAAGTAAAGAAAAATATCTTACATCATAGCAGGGCTATTCTTAATCCTTCCAGAACTAAATAACTTATCTAATGTTCTTTCTGTACCATTCAGTGGCACAAATCCATTTATTGTATATTTTTGTTTAGTAAATATTGCAATGACTCTTTCAGATAAAACAGACGTGTAAAACCTTAAGTTAGAAGTCATCTGACGCTACATTATGTAAGTCTGCAGTTGATTTTAGCACTTCACTCTTAACATACTCAACCAAACTTCCTGGAATGAAAAGTGCATATCCACCTCCTATTCGTCAGTTTTCATATAAAGATCGAAAATATGTTACAGGTTTATTGTAATGTTTTTTTTTTTTGTACTCTTGAAACACCTAAATTCGCAGTATTTATTTATTGTTCCCAAATACTTTAACCTAGACATGCCTAGGACAGACTCCTAGCATCTGTTTTAGACGAGTTTGTAAATAAATATGTAGTCTTGTCATTTCATAAAGAAATAGTAATATCTTAGCTACAAGTTAGCATGTTGTATTAGAAACGAAAACACAAATCTCCTATCTTCTTTCATTACCTTGCACAAGATTCTTGAACACGCAATTATGCGCAAGGAGATCAACTTTATAAGAGTTGGAGATAAAGTTATTGAAACGTTTTCAATGATGTCTGCCTATTAGTCTTTCCTTTGTTTTTTATTTGCTAGCAAAGTAAAGAAGTTAATGGATGACAAATGTTTGTCAAAATAAAGAGGTATTATAAACTTGTCCTGAAGAAATTGAACCAAAATAAAAGAAACAAAACAAGAGTTAATTTAAGTAATAAAACAACAATTAGAATATGATTTCCCCGTCTATATCTTGTTTTATATAATCATCTACAATACAATTGATTCAATCTACCATTCTGCTGCCAGTGAAATTACTGTAGTTGTATTTCTGGGTGAATTTCAGTGCATACACACACGTTGTTATTGGTATTTTCAAGTTGGACTGAGACATCTCCTACTCTCCATAAATGAGTTTAAAAGCTAACAAAAAATTCTTAATAACCATGTATACTTTGAATAAAAAGGTGCAATATATATATATATATATATTAGATTAAACAGTTTTATTTCAAATAAGATATTGTTTGTGGATATAAAATGCGCATAGAGATAAATCCAGATTGTAAATATGATGCGGAAATAGAAATTAGAAGCCCTAAGAAAACTAATAACAACTAGGTAAGAAGTCCATCATTATAACTGTCTTGCATTTAAAAGTACGGGAGTATGACTGCGAAAAGTATTGTATATTTGAGGCATTATTAAAAAATGTTTTGAGATGCTTATTTACAGATTCATGCGTTCTTTTGGAGTCACTTACCGTTGAGTAGGTAATCTTCAATAGCTAGAGAAGAGGAGGGAAACATTGAAAACGTGTGCAACTGCTTAACGGTAAGTGACTCCAAAAGAACACATGAAACTGTAAATAAGTGGTAACAGAGTGGTTAAACAGTTACAAACGTTTTCAATGTTTCACTCCTCTTCTCTAGCTATTGAAGATTACCTATTCAACGGTAAGTGACCCTAAAAGAACGCATGAAACTGTAAATAAGTGGTAACAGAGTGGTTGAATAGGTAATCTTCAATAGCTAGAGAAGAGGAGTGAAACATTGAAAACGTGTGCAACAGTTTAACCACTCTATTAAGCTCGTGTTAGTTGTCTTAAATATCGCAAAAGTTAAATTGATCTGAAGATTGAAAAGTTTCAATTGCCCGTACTAGTGACTAACATTTCTACCCAGGAGGAAACCAAGCCTGTATAGTGCCAGAAGTATTATCAAGAAACATTTTGAATGAATAAACGGTCAATATTATATCAAACAACTCAAGATAAGAGTGCCACATTTCTTTGTTAACTTCCAACACCGTGAAAGTCTTTAGAAGAATTTACCTACTAATTACCTCTGGTTTTACTCACCAAAGAAAAGTTTCTATATAAGTAAAACAGTGATAGCTCTAAAGGGAATAATGCTGAGAGTATACATAAAAGTTTGCAATCATTATTTATATGTAAAGAAAACATTGTGATTTATTTGTGACGTACTTACCTTCAAAACGGTGAGTTAGGAGTTAACTTGTATTTTTATACAACTTGCTACGCTACATTGATGCTCACAACTAAAACGGATCAAGCTCTTTACTGATGCCTACAAAATTGTTTACAGTACAGTCAACAGAAAAAAATCAGTTACTGACCAAAGGAAACTCTCATGTGGTTTTGCGTCAAGTTCTTTGTGTGTGTGGAAAATGTAGCCCCTGCAGACATGAACCACAGACATCTATTTAGATTACCAAAAATATGTATAATTATTTCCGAGTCGTACAGTTCACAATCGCAGTACCAAAAATAAAAACTTTTATTACCGGTTCTACCTTTTTTTTTAAGTACAACCACTGAAATATTATATCTGAGAATCGCTTTGATGCTTTAATGCCCCCTTTTATGTGTATGGTCGGTCATATACTTTGTCATCTATTCAAGACCACAAAATGCAGTACATATGTAGTTATTATTACTAACGTAAAATTATATAACATGACGCAGTGCCTGAAATAACCTAAAGTGTAATAAGCAAATATTTTCCATCAAAGGTACTTTGGAAAATATGGATATAAAATTGTTGCCTGCTTAACTATGTCTTCTTTTTAACTTTATTTATTAACAACGTAGGATATTAACAACTGATAAAAATACTTTATTTGCAGTATTTTAAAAAAGCATAACTTTAAAATTCTAGAATTTTCAACTCCCTTCTACTATATTTTTCAGAATGAAAATTTATTTTCTTTTGTAGGGCGATATTATGAAACAGGATCTTTACGACCAGGTGTTATAGGAGGAAGTAAACCAAAGGTAGCGACTCCAGCGGTAGTATCTAAAATAGAGCAGTACAAGCGAGAAAATCCAACAATTTTTGCTTGGGAAATTAGAGAACGTCTCATTTCTGAACGTAAGTAATGTCTTTCGAGTTTTATATAAATTACCTTAGATTCATTCTCTATTAAAACATCAATAGATATTGATTATCGTACCTTATGTTAATCAATATATGTAACTGTACAGTTAAAAACAGAACACGATGTATCTAGGTAATCTAGGTAATTTCCTTACCAGGTTTTTGTTTTTGGAAAGCGAAAACACTAGAAGTTGATATTTGAAATGATTAAATTAATGGTTCAGTTATTCGTAAATTAATTGTTTCTGTGATCAGAAGAAGTTATTTTTAACCCATTGTTTGAAACATATAAAGATATATTTCATTGTTCTTAAACGTTCCAAATGGAGAAATGGCGGAGCAATTTCTGGTTAACCATTTTTCAAAATTGATATATTTTAATTCGAAATATAATCAATCAATGCGAAAATTATAAAGAAGAGATTTAAATAAAACATGTCCTTAGCCTGAGTAATAACTTGTTTATTTTGAAACTTTAAATGTAAATGATAGATACTGCCTATTGGGAGAAGATTATTTGATATCAATATTTTTCCCTGATTTTTTTTAATAACTGACAGATTAGTTAGTGAGCTTAAGTTTTCAGACTGCTTATCATAAATTGTCTGAGAATGGACATAAAAAAAACATTATACTTACTAACAATTTCATTTCTTCTGGCTAACACAGATAAACCTAAACGAGTTCACGCCTCTGATCGTACGACCATGACCAAATGGTTAGGGCATTTGACTCGCAATCTGCGGGTCGCGGGTTCGAATCGCCATCCCACCAAACATGCTCGCCCTTCCAGCCGTGGGGTGTTGTAATGTGACGGTCAATCCCATTATTCGTTGGTAAAAGCGTAGCCCAAGAGTTGGCGGTGGGTTGTGATGACTAGCTGCCTTCCCTCTAGTCTTACACTGCTAAATTAGGGACGGCTAGCACAGATAGTCCTCGTGTAGCTTTGCGCGAAATCGATAACAAACAAACAAACAATCGTATGATATAAAGATAATACTAACGATCAGAAACGTCATGGTCTTAAAAGGTTTGTGTTTAAACTAATTCCACATAGCAAGTTTACTGCTATGGTACAGAAATATTTGAAAGACTGTTAAAATAAAAATAAAAATCATAGATAATTCTTATTATTATTTCTTAGTAACTATTTAAAATTAGCCCAAGGAATTATAATAAATATACGCTATCTTTGTCCCCAAGAATAGCTAGATATAGTATAGCATTCCATATTACTTGTATTTAAGGATACTTACACCTTTCTTATTGTTTGGAAAGATACATTGCTATTTTTTTTCTGGACTAAACGCATGTTCAAGCTCAGGAGTATAAGCGCACTAATCGGATTTGCAGATTATTTCTGTATAGTTCACACTTTCATTTTTGAAGAGCTCCTTGCTGTGTATTTCAGGCAAATAATATTTTTAGCACGTAATAGTAAGCAAAAAGTGTAAATTATCGGTAGCATTTTGATACAACTCAAAAATGCAAGCATTCCCTTGACTGTCTGATTGTTGAAATTATTTTCTTACCCATTTTGTTTTTACTTTTTTCTATATACTTGAGCATGCTGTTGAAATAACATGAAAAATAGGGTACCTTACCAACCAAGGTGTTTTCTTTTCTAAAGAACAACGAGCAATCAGCCCGTCTTTCGTAGAGTTTTATTGTATGAGGCGTCAGTTTTTCTGCGTCTACTAAATAACGCAAAGTAAGAATTAAATAAAATGTTCCTCAAAGCATCTATTTAAGCTCTTTCCAGAGACACATTTCAAACATAAATTCTGCTTCTTAGCCAAGATTGTACAAAGAGTTGAGGGAGAAAAAAGAAAATGATATATAATAATGAATGAAACTTTGTGCATAAAGAATCTTTCTCTTTTTTTATCTTTACCTTGATGAGTATATATATATATATATGGAGTTACTGACGTTAGAAAAAGATCATGCTAATGTGAAACGATTTTAAAGGTTAATTAAACAATCTATTTTAAATCAATATACTAATTCCACATAAATATTCAAAACGAAGTTTATAAGTCTAACGTTTTATATCCCCTGTCACTTCCCCAAGCTCTACATATGTTGGACCCGCTTGCATTAAAGTTTAAATCAGTCAGACGTTTAGTATTTGAGCCCTACAGGAAGTCACGATTAACGTTGGTTTGAAAGTGAAATACGTCGTTGCTTACTGCTGTGTAACCACCCACTAAAACGTTTTCGTTTACGTCTTAATCAACATACTTCTGGAGTTGTCTTAATAAATCGTTACCCTAGGTGGAAAATCGATTGTCCGATAAATTATAATTCTAGCATCACAAATGATTTAGCTTTCAGTAAATCTTCTAGTAGTGTTTCTATAGAAATATGTTTATACTTTTCCTACTATTCGGATAACTATATCCATGTGTTGAAAGACTAAATTACACTTTCTATAAAACTGAATTTCACATAATAAATCTTAATCTTTATTAATTGTCAATTAAACTAACAAATCCGACAATAGATTTCTATTGTAAATATATATATATATATATTTTTAATTTACACTATTTATTAATGTTAATTTATTTTTTTCAGTTATTCGGTAGGGTAAGATATTCTCTCCAGATAAACAATTTATACAGTGCGTTATCAGATTCAAAAATAGTGGGAGATAAAGTTGTGTCTGTTATGTTTTTTTTCACAGTTTCTGCAGTATCTAATGAATTAAAATTGATAAATTATTATGAAATCAACAAATCTAAATCACTGTTTTACTTGGTGTTTGACTTTCACGAAAACTGAGGTTAACTGAGAAATTTTTAAAAATATTTAGCCATTAATCACAAGAGATTAACAAGAACTTATTAAGATAAATTGTATTAACATTTAAAAAACATACAATAACTCAACAGAAAAATGAGATGCAAGTTAACAACGTTTAGTTTGAAAAACTTGCCAGTTAAGTTACAGTTATGAAGAATTTATTGCAAGAATTATATTAATTACAATGTAAATCTTTCATAAGATATAAATCTCGAGTGAGAAAGTTAAACCAAAACATCAGTTAGACAGAATTGCAGTTAACGGCTGTACTTATAACTTAAGTCCATAATCGCGATTATTTAATCTATAAAATAATATTTTATTAAGTACTTATACCAATTAAATACACTTTATATTGAGAAAAATGCTTGGATTATTAAATTGCCGATTCTAACAAATTAGTTTGTGTCCAAGACAGCCTGAATTACGAAAGATCTCCCAAGAAAATCAATGTAATACAGTTTGTTGAATTTCGCACGAAGCTCTAGTCGTCCTTAATTTAGAAGTTATAACTAGAAGGAAGACAGTTAATTTACACCATCACCGCAAACTTTTGGGCTACTTTAATTGAATTGTGGGATTGACTGTCACTTTATAACGCCCCCATGGCTTAAAGAGCAAGCATGTTCGGTGATGGGATTCGAACCAGCAACTCGTAGATTGTGAGTCGAGCGCTCTAATCACCAGGCCCTATCAAGCAATCCAACTTATATATAATTCTACAATAAAACTATCTCTATATCATATAGTAGAATTATATGTAAGTTGGATAGTATGTCATTATGAATTACACTTTCACAAATAATTTCTGAAGATTACTAGGGAATTCCAAAATTTTAATTATAAAAGGAAAAAATTATAAAAGGTAAATAAGTCGTATTTTGAACATTTTATGAAGCAAACCTAATAATTTAAGCATGTTTAAAGTAATTACGATATATACCAATATTTTTAGTGATATACTGCGATAGTCTTCTTAAAGGAGTATCTATATATTTTGAATATTATATTAAAATTAATCCATATAATACTTTCCCCATTACCAATGTAAACATTAATCACTTTATTAATGGTTTTCGACGACTTTCATAAACTATTTTGAAAAAATAAGTTGAGACTCGCAGTATAAAAGTGTATCCTGCTAAGGTCTGCATAAGAGTTCCAGCTACGACGTTCTTGAACACGATTCACGATCACTTGGATGACCGTCTTTAATAAACGTTAATTAACAATCTCTTATCAAAACTATAATAGATGAGAACAGTCACTCCCTGTGATAGGTTCACTGAAAGCTCTCTCCAGTCTTCACAACAAACAATATTTCATTCTCTTATCTTTTGATTAAAATTACTTCCATTTTAAATAGGCCTCATAAATCTTTCGTTATCTTCAAAACGACGCAATTTTTGTCCAATACTTCAACTAGTCTTAGTGATATGCATGTCGTCCTACATACAGATAATATACAATGAAAATGTACCCGCAAAAGTGTATATAATTTAGAAACGTCGTAATTGTGTTTAATCAAACAGGTATTATTTTATTTTTTCGTCATCAAGTAAGACCATTAAGTTAGCATGTATTAATTTTCAATGCAAAACACTTACCTGTTCAAATCTATCAAACTTTAAACTATTGTTAATACCACTTATTTCAAAATTATTACAACGATATATCCAAAATGAGATATTGTTAAATAATGATATATATATATAATGGTCATCAAATATACAGATAAACATATATAAAATGACAAACAGATATAAAAATGAGCACGCACAACATGACAATCATATACGTAAAGATTAAGAAAGCCCCCAATGGCACAACGGTATGTCTGCAGACTTACAACGCTAGAATCGCTAGAATCGATACCCGTGGTGGACAGAGCACAGATAGCCCATTGTGTAGCTTTGTGCTTAATTACAAAACAAACAGATTAAGAAAACGAAAGTTATATGCTAAATAGAGATACAAACAGTCAGTTATATAGGCAAACAGAATATCTGATAACATAGCTAAAAAAAAATTATTAAAGACATATACGTTTTTATAGATTGTAATTTTGCACGACGAAAATAGAAAATATCAAAATATTTTTGTTTATTAGATTTTTTAATTCACTCTTTCGTCAGAAAATAATAATAAAAAGTGGGCGCTCCAAGACGGCAGGATATGAGTTTTCA